CATACATACATACATACATACATACATACATACATACATACATACATACATACATACATACATACATACATACATACATACATACATACATACATACATACATACATACATACATACATACATACATACATACATACATACATACATACATACATACATACATACATACATACATACATACATACATACATACATACATACATACATACATACATACATACATACATACATACATACATACATACATACATACATACATACATACATACATACATACATACATACATACATACATACATACATACCTACCTACCTACCTACCTACCTACCTACCTACATACATACATACATAGATACGTACACATACAAGCATACACACATTCCATACAAACACACCTACACAGGCATTCATGCATACACACACACACAATCATATATACAGACACCCACATACGCCCACAACCACAGATATACACTCACATGCATAAATACATCCACATACATATACATACACATCCATAATTCATACCCACATACTTACACAGCTACATATATCTACATACATCCAGATACATTCATAAATACAGTATAACCTCGCTTAACGAGCATCTTTCATAAAGAGTAATTCGCATAACGAGCAAAACAAATTGAAAAAAAATGACTTGCTTAACGAGCGACATTTCGCATAGCGAGTGGCGAGGAGAGAGGAAGTCCCTGATTGTGCTTATGTTAAATCAGTCTGTGTTTAGCACTCGTTTCAGTAGCATCGTAGTTTCGCTTGTGATCACACATTTTCTCAAACTTGCGTTAGATTGTGATATATGTACATGAATTCTCTAGGCCTACAAGATGGCCTCTCTGAAGAATTTAAGTTCATCAAGATCCAGTTGCTGCTTTCCAACACCTCTCCGTTACTCCAGCCAATGGACCAGCAAGTTATTTCTAACTTCAAGAAGCTCTACAATAAAGCACTCTTCGAGCATTGTTTTCAGGTGACTGAAGGGACCAACCCTCACTCTCAGAGAGTTTTGGAAAAATCACTTCCACATCGTTTCCTGCCTCAAGATGATTGACAAGGTGGGGGAAGGGGTTACCAAGGAAACTCTAACTTCTGCTTGGAAGAAGCTTTGGCCGGAGAGCGTTGTCAATTTGTGACTTTGAGGGGTTCTAGACAGTACCTGTGGAACCTCTAGTCAACGAGATTGTGTCTTCGGCCATTATCATAGGATTGTAGGTGGAATACAGTGATATCGAAGAGCTTGTGGAAGAGCACAGCCAAGAGCTGACCACCCAAGAGCTTATGGGGTTTCATTGTGTTTCACAGCAAGAAGTTTTGGGAGAAAGTTTGTCAGAGGAGGAGGAGCAGGTAACAGAAAAGCAACAAACTTCTGGTGAAATAAGAGAAATGCTGAAAGCATGGCAAACTGTTGCAACTCACATTGAGAAGCATCACCATAATAAGGAAGTGGCTATGCGCGCTGCAAATATATTTAATGATAATGCTGTGTCGCATTTTCGCCAAATTTTGGAGCGTCGGCAAAAATAAATGTCTCTGGACATCTTTCTAGTAAAAAAAAAAAAAAAAAATTTGCTTAGTATCATAAATTTTATGACTTTTTTTCCCTGCAAATCGAATTCGCATTGCAGGTGGGTTCGTTCCGCGTTCGAAGAAAAGATGAAGATGATTCACTCTCCTTAACAATATGTATATAATTTTCTTTGAATAAACGTTTTACATAGCATTTTGTGAGTATTTTTTCGACATGGAACGCTTTATCGTATTTTACATTAATTTATATGAAACAAATTCTTTCGCATATCGAGTATTTCGCTTAACGAGTGTGATTCTGGAACGAATTATGCTCGTTAAGCTTGGTTCCACTGTACATACATACATACACACACATACACCCACATACTTACACAGCTAAATATATTTACATACATCCACTTGCATATATAACATCTGCAAGATCGACCAGGCTGTCACGATACGATCTCAGTGATTCCAGAAGTTAGTACTCGTAATAAGTTCTTCTGGTTATTGAGAGACAAGAGACTATGCCCTTAAACCAAATGTTACTTTAAACCGTATTGATTTAAATGTTTCCAGCCCTTAGTCCAGACAAAGCGACTGAGTCTTGGGTAATGTTACGTAATTACACCGGGGCTAGAGAATTTCCTTTCACACGCCAGTGTCAGAATGTTATCTCCTAACACAGCCTGAGAGGGGCCCTTTTGAACAGGGGAATTGAGTAGACGCTAGACATTGTGGAGCCGGGAGGTCGGAGTTTCGCAAGTCAGTGTAATTCTTGGCAGAACAGGTGTTTGGCAATTAGGAATGTTTGATCTGGGTCAAGTAGGAAACACAATCGCTTCACGGACCGTTTTCACACCGGCTAGTTAGATTCGTTGTAAACTAGATTGGGTCACTTAAGAATATACGCTCTAGGGATGTCAGTCCAGAATTGACTGACAGGCCACTTGTTAGCTAATTTGATTTGATAGGTACTTCAGAGGCGGAGCTTAAGTCATCGTCTTGAGGGTTGGGTAGAACTAAGTAAAGGGAGGAGTTTAATTTGGACAATAGATTGATACTTATACTTCGAGCCTGTGGAATTCCCGTCATTAATCGCAGCCTGCCGGCAAACAAACACAGATCGACCTAAAAGGTAAATTTTACGGTCGCATTCTGTTTTGGCGATTGATGGAAAGTTCCCAGGTAAGAGAAAATATTAATTTTAATCTTGTATACATAGGTTAGGGAGTTAAGCTTAGTCTATACTATTTTTTCCTAATTTGTCTGCACATTCTGCTTGAAATAGTTCTTTGTGAGTATTCAGTATCTCAAGTTAGGGAACTGCTAAACTATTCCTATTTCTTGTATGTTTGTGTCACATGTTTTTCAGTGTATGTTTTCATGTGTATAAAATAAGATGTGAACAATGACATTTGCTATAATGAAATGTAATTATATTGTTTCCACCATCTACCAAAATATGAGTTTGGACTGTGGGAAATCATGCCCATATGTGCAGGGATGCTGCTACGTTTTGTGTGCCCACCATGTGCTCACTTAATGTGTTCACCTAAACAGGGGATTTATAACCCCAGGGGAAGAATGATGGGTGTACAGTATTTACTGTCACTGAAAGATAATATTCAGGACAGCATGCACATATAAAATGGTTGGAGTTTCAGCACATAACCTGCGCCACGGGTTGATGTAAAAACAATGATTGGAAGTCTGAGTGAAGACGAACAGACTTAGAAAGTCAACTATCATGACATAGCATTTGAGGGAAGGCAGGATATGTGACGCCCATGTAAGACAAAAGACCTTCAGACTAGACTGGAGAGGATGTGGAATATGAGGAGGAGTGATGGGATATATTTTATTATTCTATGTTATATTAATTGATACATGTATTCTTAGTGTAAGTCAAGATACTACACGTATGTGTTTTGTTTCCATGATTACAGTGCCCATGTGACGATCAGTCCATGAAAGAGACTACATTGTGTTAGACTCGGCCAGCTGGGAACGAGGTGGAGAACCAGGTGGAGAACCAGGTGGAGAACGAGGTGGGGATGAAGTGGAGAATAAGCTGAAACAGGCAGACAACAGGCAAGGAAGAGTTGGACAAGCTTGACAGTTCCTCACGGCTGTCAGAGGCTTATAAGTTGAGTTAACCCCTTTATGTTAACCTATTATCATCATTATCATACCACTCTAAACCCCGAGCTGTTTTTCTCGCTGAAGCTTACCACTATCATCAAATTAACCAGTCACTGTTTGTGTAAATCAACAAACTGGGAATATCATTGTTAGTAAATAAAGCTGTATGTCAAGTTTTAAACTACATCGTTTGTTAAATTCCAAGTGTATTCAGTCTTACCTGTTTAATTAAACTGTTAGGATAGAATAACATTTGGTGGGGGCTCAAAATAATATAATAATTCTTTAATTATTCATAATAACACCGAGAGAAGGTAGATGACGGAGGAATCACTTGCCCTGTCTAATAATTCATTTAGTATAATGATAGACATCTAAAATTCCTTTCTTCTCTTGTGGGTACCAAGTTCAGCTAATGTTAACATACTTAACGAGCCAATATGGCTGTTTTCTTGGATATCCAGGACTTTGTCTGAGAGCAACATAGCTCAGATTTTAGTTCCGTTAATCTGGTGGAGGGAATGTGTTGAGAGGAACATCCCTACTCAACATAATAAACCATTAAATACCACGCGTCACGTCACACAGGCCTAATTTCTTGGAAACTAAAGGGGCTGGAGCCATATCACCGATGGAAGATCGATAAGTTTGAAGGGAACCAGCAGTGCATATCTGGCAGGTCCTGTAACTTGATATGAAGCCCTTTAGTCTCATTTGCTTGCCTTGAAAGAGTTCATGAAAGAACTTGTGGAAACCTTCGGTTTTGGCCATTCTTGATGGAAACCTCCTTGCACTGGACATCGGAATGGTTTGGATTCAATCTCCACCGGAACATATAATTATGTCCCACTGACATGAATCTATAATTGCTTCGACTCGTTGACCTGGTACCAACATTCTCTCTTGGAACAAATAGCGACGAGTAAGCGAGTGGTCGCATAATCAAGTGGTTTATTAGTTAACTTAGGTGAAGCTTGATCCCCTTCATGCCCCACTATGTCAACCATCAGTTTAGTACTTTAAGGCTTTCCCTCGAAGTCGGAGTACAGCTGCCTCATTGACAAGAAAACAACGAACTGCACACAAATAAACAAGATCTGTAAAACTGATGTAACTCTAATATCTTGGTAGAGACTCGATGTCACAACATTCAAGACAAGGCCATATTAGATCTCCCTCCTTCCTCAGCTGCCAGCAAACATTCTGATGGTCCCCGGTGTTACCTGGTTCAAACCCTTCTTCTGGCCTTGTCCCCGAGCCTCACAAACTGACCTTTATTGTCTGTGTCACTGTCTTAAGTGTCTACAACAATGCAGTGTCTTCACGTTATTGTGATTTGTGATACTGTTGAAATTCTGTCCCCGACGCTCACTCTACCACCGCCCCGACATCTCCGACACACCGAGACAGTGTCTTGAACCTCACCCATATCTCTGACATGTCGACATATTGCTCGTCTCAACCAAGTCACCAGAACTCTTCTAAAGCTCTTATCCAAACTGGCAAACACGACAAAGTTGACACAAGCGTGAAAGTAGGTCAACAGTTTTAACCCCTGATGGACATTCGCAAATTTTTGCTTGTCCTGGAAAAACCTCACATAAAAATGGTAATAGATTCCCGGACTTAGCAGAACCACAAACCCGCCAAACACAGTCACCAAAAGTCGAATGCTCCTGAGGTTTTCCCTCAGAAGTTTCATGTTTGTGTCCGCCAGTTCAACGTTTCTGGTGTCGACACTATTTCTTCTAGGTCGGAAATAACTTGTTTTATTGATTGCAGCCATTTGCCTTCTCGTGATTACCGTTAAGTGCACGTAGATGGAGAAGAGAAGGACTGTCACCACAGTATGAACGCAAGGAAACACCACATCAGACTTAATGTCCGATATTGTTATATAATGTTTGAGATTGACCATGAATGCTTCCACATTAACTAGCACGGAACTCAGCCACGCTAAAGCCACTCCGATACAAGTAGAGCGAGGGGAGATTAGCCGTTGATGTAGAAACGGACGAGAAATAAACAGCCAACGCTCTCCAGACACGAAGAGAATATTTAGGTAGCTGGCAAAAGTGTTGACAGAGAAACAAATGTTGACCCCTCGTTCCATGTGATCCAGTGCAGTAGGGGAGAAACACACGAAATCCACCAGGACATCTATTGTCAGATAAGCGAAGCCGTAGATGGAGATGAGAATGTCATTGACTGCCAGTGAGGAGATGAAGATATGCGTACTAGAGCGGAGTTTGCTTGAACAGCAGACGATGACCAGCAGTAGTGTGCTGAGACACACTGATGTGCTCAAGATGATGCCTTCAACAACTGTTTCAGGCAGCGGGGTCCAGTAGCTGAGGTGCCAGTCTCTGTTAGTGCTGCAGCTGCCGTTTTTTGTCATCTTGTTCGGTTCTATGTTACCTGCAGGTGGCGGATACATTCACAACAGACGGTCAGGAATGGATACATTGACAACAGACGGTCAGCAATGGGTACATTATCAACAGACGTCAGGAATGGATACAGTAACAACAGACCATCAGTGATGGATACATTCACAACGTACTGTCAGGAATGGATACATTATAAATAGACTGTCAGGAATGGATACATGATCAACAGACGTCAGGAATGGATACATTATCAACAGACGTCAGGAATGGATACATTATCAACAGACGTCAGGAATGGATACATTATAAATAGACTGTCAGCAATGGATACAGTAACAACAGACTGTCAATGATGTATACATTAATAACAGACCATCAGCGATGGATACATTCACAACAGACCATCAGCGATAGATACATTCACAACAGACCATCAGCGATGGATACATTCACAACAGACTGTCAGCAATGGATACAGTACAACAGACTGTCAGTGATGGATACCTAATTTGCTCCAGCTAACCATGATTACTGGTAATTATAACAATAATTAATAATTAATTATTTAAAATGCCAAACAAGCTGCAGTGATGCTAAATTAGGACGTTCTATGACGTCAGAGTAGGTCAGAAGAAATGTCCAATTGACAAAGGTCATAGATGAAAGGCCAGCTAGGAAACTGATAGACAAGTGTAGGATGTCTCCGCACGGGACATCGTCTCAACACGAGTGAATGAAAATGTAGCTACTAGAGCGAAGCATTTCAAAAGAATCATGTCTGAGAAAAAGGAAAAAAAAAAAATTATGGAGCCGAAATAATAGCATTACTTCAAAGCGGGCACTATTGCCTCGTGCGTTTCTGGAGCTTTTAAACCCGGGTGGGGCTGAGAGTGGGAGGTGAGGGTGGGCCTGAGAGTGGGGGGTGAGGGTGGGGCTGAGAGTGGGGGGTGAGGGTGGGTGCTGAGAGTGGGGGTGAGGGTGGGGCTGAGAGTGGGGGTGGGGGTGGGGCTGAGAGTGGGGGGGGGTGAGGGTGGGGCTGAGAGTGGGAGGGGAGGGTGGGGCTGAGAGTGGAGGGTGAGGGTGGGGCTGAGAGTGGGGGTGAGGGTGGGACTGAGAGTGGGGGGTGAGGGTGGGGCTGACAGTGGGGGTGAGGGTGGGGCTGAGAGTGGGGGTGAGGGTGGGGCTGAGAGTGGGGGGTGAGGGTGGGGCTGAGAGTGGGGGGGGGTGAGGGTGGGCCTGAGGGTGGGGATGAGGGTGGGGTTAAGAGTGAGAAGAAGACTCACTGCCTTTTAACAAGCAGGTCGTAAAAAGAGACTAAGATTTTGCTGAAAACGGATGTGTTGGACCAAAATATGCTAATATCGCAGCCTAGCTGTATATCATAATACCACGTGCCAGCTGCCCTTATAAAGGCGAAAGCAGACACAGGAAAAACAGGTAACGTCCACAAATGTAAAATAACGAGCTCTTTATTCGGGGTAAAAAAAAAAATTTGTATTTGAAATCAGGTGCGAGGAAGATAGGCCAAACTGTGTGTGGTTTTTTTTTTATTTTCATCATTGTAAAAAACAAACAGTAATAACAATGATAACAACAACAATGATGATAACAAAAGCAATAACACTTCGCCGTGAATTAATCCAGTGCTATATTGTTACAAACAAAAGTTCATTATCACTATCATCATTGTGAAATCAAATCATCTTGATGATCTGACTAACCAGCTTTAGACAAGGTTAGTTGCGTATCCTTTACAGGACGTTGCAGAACCAACCACAACAGCCCCTGGCTGTTGTGTGGTTTTTTTCTAAGCAAATTTACGTCCAGTAGTTTGCCATTGCTATCTGGACGGTCGGCTTTCTTGATACCACTGTCGAAACCAACGCAAGGCGCATGGCCCGCAGCTGGGATCGAACCCGGCATCCCTGCATTACGAAGCGTTTGCATCGACTTAGCCACAGAGCCGACAGATTTAGACAGCATACCTCATATTATTAACAAAGCGTTGACAACATGTCCTAGACCAGTAGTTCTCAACCTCCCTAATGCCCCGACCCTTCAATACAGTTCCTCATGTTGTTCCGACCCTAAACAAACAATTATTTTCGCTGCCACTATAATTTCAATGAATCTGTGTTTTCCGATGGTCTTAGGCGATCCTTGTGAAATGATCGTTCGACCCACAAACGGGTTGCGACCCGCAAGTTGAGAACCTCTGTCCTAGAGCATAAGCCGAACATTGACAACTGGTTCTACGGTATCAAACAGATGCTAAGAAAAACTCACTGTTAACAACTCGTCCTATGCTACAGACTTGACGTTAACAACTCGTCCTATCGTATGAACTGAAGGTTAACAACTCGTCCTATAGCATAAACTGCAGGTTAACAAATCGTCCTATGTGAAAACTAGACGTTAACAAAAACTCGTCCTAGCGTATAAACTGGACGTTAACAACTCCTTTTCTGGTATAAATTGGACTTTGATAACTCGTCCCATGGTATAATCTGGATGTTAACAGCATGTCCGTAGATTATAAACCCAACTAGAACACAGCCCCACAACGGTAACCCAAGGAAAAAGCCACATTAAATAAACCTTGTTTGAATTTCCTAACTATTGAAACTGTATGAATTTTGGTTTGTTTGTTTGCTTTTCAAATGTGTCCCGCGTCTATCGATTCTGCCTGGGAAGGACAATATCTTTTATGAAAACGATAGTCAGTGTGAAATATTCGTTCAAGTATTCAGCAAATGTCACTCAAACAGAAAAAAAAAAAGTGCTTTTGAACTCCAGCTCTGCAGAATAAATTATAGCAAACGCTGGGTCTTCAAAATAAAAATAATATTGTTTTACTTTCAATACAAAAAGCGATAAAAGAGGAAGTGAAGAAGATGAGAAGAAAAAACAACAAATGGGAAATTTTTGTCACGAAAATTTACCTTAGCTCCCAGGTTCCTCCAGCCTAACATGGGTACCAGGCAGTGTCTTGGGAAGTAAAGGTGGTCGGTGTTACCTTGAGAGCATCACCAATCCAGTCCTGATTTAGTTAGTTGCGTATCCTTTACAGGACATTGTAGAACCAACCCCAGAATTTTTTGGCTCTTGTGGTTTTTCTAGACACATTTAAGTCCAGTAGTTTGCCATTGCTTTCTAAACGTCGGCTTCTCGATACCACTGTCGTAACCAAAACAAGGCGCAAAGCCCGCAGCTGGGATCGAACCCGGCACCCCGGGATTACGAAACTCGTTCGCAATGCCTAAGCCACAAACGCTAATGCTGATTGGTCTAGGCATAGATCTAGCACTGACAAGCCATGTGTGTGAGGAGAGTCCTGCGCTTGTTCAAACAACAGAGGGAAGATGCACTGACTAGCCATGTGTGTGAAGAGAGTCCTGCGCTTGTTCAAACAACAGAGGGAAGATGCACTGACTAGCCATGTGTGTGAAGAGAGTCCTGCGCTTGTTCAAACAACAGAGGGAAGATGCACTGACTAGTCATGTGTGTGAAGAGAGTCCTGCGCTTGTTCAAACAGCAGAGGGAAGATGCACTGACTAACCATGTGTGTGAGGAGAGTCCTGCGCTTGTTCAAACAACAGAGGGAAGATGCACTGACTAGCCATGTGTGTGAGGAGAGTCATGCGCTTGTTCAAACAACAGAGGGAAGATGCACTGACTAGCTATGTGTGTGAGGAGAGTCCTGCGCTTGTTCAAACAACAAAGGGAAGATGCACTGACTAGCCATGTGTGTGAGGAGAGTCCTGCGCTTGTTCAAACAACAGAGGGAAGATGCACTGACTAGCCATGTGTGTGAGGAGAGTCATGCGCTTGTTCAAACAACAAAGGGAAGATGCACTGACTAGCCATGTGTGTGAGGAGAGTCATGCGCTTGTTCAAACAACAAAGGGAAGATGCACTGACTAGCCATGTGTGTGAGGAGAGTCATGCGCTTGTTCAAACAACAGAGGGAAGATGCACTGACTAGCCATGTGTGTGAGGAGAGTCATGCGCTTGTTCAAACAACAGAGGGAAGATGCACTGACTAGCCATGTGTGTGAGGAGAGTCATGCGCTTGTTCAAACAACAAAGGGAAGATGCACTGACTAGCCATGTGCTGTGAGGAGAGTCATGCGCTTGTTCAAACAACAAAGGGAAGATGCACTGACTAGCCATGTGTGTGAGGAGAGAGTCATGCGCTTGTTCAAACAACAGAGGGAAGATGCACTGACTAGCCATGTGTGTGAGGAGAGTCCTGCGCTTGTTCAAACAACAGAGGGAAGATGCACTGACTAGTCATGTGTGTGAGGAGAGTCATGCGCTTGTTCAAACAGCAGAGGGAAGATGCACTGACTAGCCATGTGTGTGAGGAGAGTCCTGCGCTTGTTCAAACAACAGAGGGAAGATGCACTGACTAGCCATGTGTGTGAGGAGAGTCATGCGCTTGTTCAAACAACAGAGGGAAGATGCACTGACTAGCCATGTGTGTGAGGAGAGTCCTGCGCTTGTTCAAACAACAGAGGGAAGATGCACTGACTAGCCATGTGTGTGAGGAGAGTCCTGCGCTTGTTCAAACAACAGAGGGAAGATGCACTGACTAGCCATGTGTGTGAGGAGAGTCCTGCGCTTGTCTGTAACAGAGGGTGATGCCTGCAATGCCAAGTGCTGTCAGAAATGCCAGAACTGCATGCACCTGCCTTTTGTTCGCTGTGTGCTGTCTGTTGAATTTTAGTGCTGGTGCCGTGTAATGTCTGGTGAAATGTCTGTAGTGTCTGGTGCTGCCTGTAATGTTTGTGTATGTGCATGTAATGTGGTGCTGTCTGTAATGCCTGGTGACTGCCTGTAATGTCATGACCTTACCGAAAATTTTAACCGGGTTGCTGCATGAAAGTCTGGTGCTGTCTGTAATGTCAGTGGTGCTACGTTCCAGAAGTTAAATTTAGTAATGCTACAGGTGCTGTCTGTATAGCCTGACTATTCCATAATGTCTGGTGTAGCCTGTAATTCTGATTAGTATCTGGCGCTGACGGGGTTGTCGCCACCTTTCACCGCCGCCTGCAGTGCTGCAATGCCTGGTGCTGTCTGAAATGTCTAGTGCTGTCTGTAATGTCTGGTGCTGTCTGTAATGTCTGGTGCTGCCTGTATTGCCTGGTGTTGCCTGTAATGCCTGGTGCTGTCTGTGATGCCTGGTGCTGTCTGTAATGTCTGGTGCTGTCTGTAATGTCTGGTGCTGCCTGTAATGCCTGGTCTTGTGCTGCCTGTAATGCCTGGTGCTGCCTGAAATGTCTGGTGCTGCCTGTAATGCCTGGTGCTGCCTGTTATGCCTGGTGCTGCCTGAAATGTCTGGTGCTGCCTGTAATGCCTGGTGCTGCCTGTAATGTCTGGTGCTGTCTGTAATGTCTGGTGCTGTCTGTAATGCCTGGTGCTGTCTGTAATGCCTGGGGCTGCCTGTAATGTCTGGTGCTGTCTGTAATGTCGGGTGCTGTCTGTAATATCTGGTGCTGTCTGTAATGCCTGGTGCTGTCTGTAATGCCTGGTCGTGTGCTGTCTTTAGTGGCCTCATGCGGCGTGTGTATATAAAAAAAATACAATAACATTTTTTGAAATATGAACTTTAATTTTTTTTTTTTTAAGGAAAACGTAGTGTTTTGTGAGGTCAAGTCATCGCGCTGATGTGTAAGCTGAGGGGCTTTATAGGTCATCGAGGGGTCACGACATATGAATCAATGGGATATTTATGTCAAAGGAGGCGGGTGTTGTATCTCGGGATAAGGTGTCGGTGGGGCATTGTTTCAGCGGTAGCTAGGCTGCGATATGTAGGTGGTCAGTTAAATAGGTTGTCAGGCTTGTCTTAGGTGTGTTAATTTTCCCAGTGTTTCAAGCATGACGTAGCTGTAATATTGTGACTAACATATGTTGTTCGTGCCCCTATTATTATCAAGTGGTAGGGGTGCACCCCTCTGCTGCTAAGTTACGGTATGGTATATGGGTGGTCAAGAATGTCGTAGGTGTCTGCCTAAAGTTTGTGTCTTTGATAATATTATAGGTCGTAGGTGCCACACAAGTAGCGGGTGGTGCGGGTGCCGCGGTGGGTGCGGAAGCAACAGGTAGTGTGGGTGTGCGGGTAGCGTATGGTAGTGTGTTTGTGCAGCAGGATGATGTGTGTAGCGGGGTGTTATGTGGATGCCGCGGTCGGTGGGTGTCTCGGGTGGTGTGGTGTACGTATATTTACATGCATGCATTTACCATCCATACGCTGATGTATTTTACTTACCTGATATTCTTTATGCACATTTATATATACAAATAACATGCTTTATTGATAACATAAATTGTGGCATGAAAGATGATTATCGAGAAGAACTGATGCCAAGACCGGTCTGCGTGCCCAATTAAAACCTGTTGGAAATAAAACGCATCCGTTCATTTGTTCGCCTTAACCAACAACCACGTCATTTGTTCGCCTTAACCAACAACCACGTCATTTGTTTGCCTTAACCAACAACCACGTCATTTGTTTGGAAAAGAATGTTTTGCAAATCATTTACAATCATTTACAGGAAGTTGCAAAAGCCATTCCAGCAATGTTTTGGCAGTTTATGGTTTTACTAGAAAATGTTTTTAATATGTAGTAGTTCGCCACTTCCCATTGAACGATAGGTTTTTGTCACCATTATCAGATAGAATCGAACCAAGTTTGGGAATTAGAAAGCGCTGTCGAACCTCACGCCACTGTAACCAGGTTTATTATTCACCTGGCAAACAAAAGAAGCCTGTGAGAAAGCTGACATGCGATTATACTGCTCTTGTTGTTTGCACCAATGGTTCACAGGCTGGTAGCTCCCTGATTCCTCAACTAATGCGAATCGTCGTTTCGGCACTCACTACACAGCACAATATTCTCGGCAGAAGCGATTTTCGCATGACGATTGTTTCCAAATGACAATTATTGTGAATACTGTAATGTCAAAAAATCTTGGTTCATAACGTCCCCTCAAATGATACCAAATAACAACTGCATTAGTCGTAATGAGCAAATGACAAGTCTTAGTCGCAAGAGCAAATCCAAATTGGAACTAGGTTGCTACTCTCCCATGAACCATTTCATCGTCACCGGGGCGGTAGTGCCCACTTTGGGAATCACTGATGTGCATGGATGCAGCAATCTGTTACATTGAAACGCCTATTATTTGTAGTGGATGAGTGCTCCTTGTCGTCCCCAGTTCTCCTCCCCTGTTGTCTGCTAGTGGTTGAGTGCTCCTTGTCGTCACCAGTTCTCCTCCCCTGTTGTCTGCTAGTGGTTGAGTGCTCCTTGTCGTCTTAGTTCTCCTCCCCTGTTGTCTGCTAGTGGTTGAGTGCTCCTTGTCGTCACCAGTTCTCCTCCCCTGTTGTCTGCTAGTGGTTGAGTGCTCCTTGTCGTCCCCAGTTCTCCTCCCCTGTTGTCTGCTAGTGGATGAGTGCTCCTTGTCGTCCCCAGTTCTCCTCCCCTGTCGTCTGCTAGTGGTTGAGTGCTCCTTGTCGTCACCAGTTCTCCTCCCCTGTCGTCTGAGGTTACAGGCTTGGTCTGGTTAAGACAGAAAAAAGAAACAACTTTACATTTGCTTATATACATGTATATGTGTGTGTACGTGTGTGTGTGTGTGTGTGTGTGTGTGTGTGTGTGAATGTTTGTGTATGGATGGGTGGGTGGGTGTTCAGAAAACAGAAAATGCAGTTATCTGAAAGGATAAAACAATAGACTCAAGAATTTGAAAAAATTACCAAAAGAAACCAAAAAAAAAAAAAAAAAAAATGCAAGCAGTTGTCACGCTCAAAATATGCGGAAATCAGAGAGACTTAGTTCGAAGACAAAAAGTAAGATTATGAAAGAGCAACATTTTATGAATACTCTTGTGGAAAATGAGAACAGCAGTTATACATAAATTTTAAAAAAAAATCAAAAATAAATGTTTTAAAATAATTTTGCGACCATTTTAGCCAAACAAGATCTCAAATGAAGAACCATGGAGGAAAACAAAAAGTTCATTTTCGGCACATGCTATCTGAGGATGAAGATGTAGATGTCTTTGATCGGAATTTCTCTGGGCAACTTATCAATGACAGCTCTCCGACAGACATCGATTGGGAAAAAGAGATGCCGACTACCGAAAAAAAAAACATAGGGAATGACAGTAGAAAAGGAATGGAGGAATGCGACAGAATCAGGGCTACCATGCGACAGAAGTGCAGGAGACAACAACAGGGGCGATCACCTGTGAATGCCCTATGTGTCAGTAATTATATCAAGACAGTACAGATAGACAATAACGTAGCAGCGGCAGGAAGTATTATGATATTTTACGAACGCTTTGCGTGGATATCAGCATAGTATAGAGTGTTGATCGTTCAGTTAGCAATGGCAAATCACTGGACGTAAAACTGACTAGAAAAACCAAACTGCTAAAAAAAAAATTGCTGCTGGGACTGATTCTACTCCTCTAAAGGACGGGCCTCTCTCTGCTTCTGTACACTCACAGTTGATAGAAAGTGTGACCCAGACATAACGAAACAAATCACAAAATGATTTTGTTTTTGTTTTTTGTAGAAGCATTAGCAACGTCAAGACAACGTTGTAGACCAGATCCTGTTGCCGGTTGGCAGCTGGTCTAGGAGGTAAGCTACCGGAGGCGAAGAGACAGAGCACTGCAGTTCTGATCGCACAGCTTCTGCATGGTTTGTTTCAAAAGTAGTGGCTGTTACCTTTCGTTTGGAGGTATCAGAGAGAGACCATAAACCATGGGCAACACATGGTCTTTACAGGACTGTCCAGACTTTGTGCTATGGAGACAGAGAACTTCATCCTTCGTCTTAACAGGACGGGATTCGTACAACCCTCCATAAGACACTATGACATGACAGTTTCCAAAGACGGAAAGCTGCCGACGGGAGACGTCAGGAACACAGAAGCGCTAGGATCAACTTGACATTTGTTTACTGAAAGTATGTTTGATTTTCAACCCCCCCCCCCCCACCCCCCCACCCCCACCGTGTGGACAAACAACCAAAACTTTTCCCCCTGAGCTTACAACATTTGAACCCTAAGAAGAAGAAGAAGAAGCTTAAATCGCGGCCCATGAAGATGGCGAGTGTGACTAGCAAGACCCAGCTCTCTTTAAGAAGTCATCCACTTTTACTATTGAACCAGATTTCAGAAGCATTCTTTCCGTGATATAAACTATCTGCAGCCATTGACTGCTCTGTGCCTATGTCCGTCCCTCCGATCTGTATACTACATAAAGAGAAGGGATGAAGTGTGACTGGATCGCTGTATATATAATCATACTTACAATGCATTTCTCTTTGAATTCTTCTTGCTATCACTAGATGGTCTGGAGATTCTGTCAGCCTCCAACTGTTGTAAACATTTCTGAATGGCCAAATCTTCTTCATTCCTTTTCCGAATGGTCGTCATGACTTCCTCCCCCATGTGAAACACCTCTTGACCTAAATTCGTGGCAAGTTGCTGCACGCGCTGCTCTTGTTCGGTAGACATCTGTTGAAAAGTGGTCAAAGAAGTCTTGACCAAGGCACTCAGAGAGTTGACCATTTCTTTAACCTGGGAAAGTTCCGACAGGATCCTAGTTTGGGAATCCCTAAACTCTGTCTGCAGGCGGTGCTGGTTCGATTCCAGTGAATCTAGCTTCGTGTCTATGCCGTTAATGATTTCGTTCTGAAAGTGAGATGAAGAGACTGGGGTTAGCCATATCAGACTCAACAGTGCACAGTCGTCATCATCAACACAATCACCACCACCATCACCACAACGATCACAATGTTTCATACAGAGAAGCGAAGGCGGTCATTTGTCCGCATTCCCCCCCCCCCTACCCCCATCGCTCAAGCATTAGGCCTTCTTCACCCACAAAGACTCAAACACCACACACATACTCATACTCATGCACACACACGCATACATACACTCATACATCTACATACATGCTCTCACATACTCGTACATACAAATACATGCACTAATACACATACAGACTCACATACATAAACCCACAAGCACACATACCGCACGCATACGTATAAACATACATACGTACGTACGTATAGACAGACAGACAGACAGACAGACAGACAGACCGAGTGACGGGCAGACAGACAGACAGACAGACAGACAGACAGACAGACCTAGTGACGGGCAGACACACAGACAGACGAACAGACAGACAGAGAAACCGACAGGCAGACAGACAGTTTTTCCCTCTGTGAGTGTATAGTTCAATGAAGCTGACTATAACCTAATGCTAATAACATCAATACCTGGTCCGAGCGTAAGGGGGCGTACGGGTTCTGGCCAGTCTCTGCCTGAGCCGCCGTCAGGTTGATCTCGTCATAGACGTTTTCACTGCCACTGATCTCTGGGATGAACACAAATAAATATGGCAGTTGACTGGAAACCCATCAGAAGACAGAGGGTTTACTGTTAAGACAATTTAAAAAAGATAGATGTCACTGGTGTGTTCATGACGTCATAAGAGGAGGCCATCTTCACTAAACGGTGGGTTGCATTGTGTTCTTTGTCTAGTTTTAAAAATACACAGAAAGTGCTACGTTTCTGGATGTAAATCGAACAAGTGAATATGTAGATATTGTGATGTAGATATTACACAATATTTTCCTACTTATGCTGACAACTCCGGTAATGTTGTGACTGGTGTAGTGACTGTGAGCTCTTTCAGTACAGACGTTGTGAGGGTAAGGAAGAAGTTGTTCTGTTGTCCGAGTACCAAGCTATCACCTTCCAATGGGCTGTCAGGCAACCTATCCTTCCCCTCTCCAAGCTCTGAAACTAATGGGTTTACAATGCTTCGTCGGCGATTTTTGGTCGAATGCTTAATTCATTATGGGCCGTAAACTGAGATGTCAGCTAGTGGTCTTTTAGATTTCCTTAAAGCGAAGGTGTCAGGTCTACTGGATGTAGCCAAAGATTGTTTGGTTGATCTTCGAAGAGAAGATACTCTTGAAAGACATGTTCTGGAGTCCGTTCAGCACAGAGACACTGGCAGAAAGCTGTTGGGCTCATATCTACTTTATGAGTGTTTGTTGAGTCTGCAATGCCCAGTGGGAAAGTGAACAGTTTTGACTTTCACAGTTATCATCAGTGTTTATTTTCCAGTCTATTTCGCATTTTCTCTTTATGAGGCGGTTCCTTGACAATACAAGACCTGTGTGGCTGCGATAGAGCATAGATGTAGCCTGTTTCTGACTGAGCAAAGCACTCACGGGCTGCCTGATTGGCGTGCTTCTTCAACAGGCACATGTTTGGTGTCTCATTGTTGACATAATATAATCCTATGCTAGAACGCGCGAGTGATGGGAAACTGGAGGTGTAAAAAGATTCGATACACGGTAAAGGTAACTGTATTTGTGGAACAGGGAAACAAACAACTGTACCATTGAAACACATACAATAAGGCACCATCTTGAGATCAGTAGAAAATGTCTTATTCAGCTGGTAGGGATGAGAAAGACTGAAAGAGAGAGAGGACTCCGGGGAGACTGTAGGTATCCTGGTAATGGTGATCTTAGTTTCAGCTTCATGGCGAACAGGTCACCCCATAGTTGCTCCGCTCCTGTGCCAACGTGAAACACACAGAATGTTCATCACAGTCCCTTGTCGAAAGATTCACAGACGGCTATCTCAGCATATCTAGCATACACACGCACTAAAAGCATATGGTAGCCATCTGAAGTGCTAACACAAACAGTCTGACATTAGAAATGCAGTTCATCATCGACGGTAGCAGAGCGGTACACATCCTGTTCACATCGTGTACCAGTCTATAAAAGTAAAAAAGAAAAAATTAAAGGACCATTTTACACTCCTTCAGGCGTATTGGGCATATAGGGCTAGACCTAAATTTTATAAACCTATCGACACTCAGTTAGTGATGTACTCAACATCATGCCAGCCAAACTACGTTGAAAGACTTCACCTGGTACCCTTTCAAGGCCGGTTCAACCTCGAAGCCAAGGTCATTTTGAAAATACTCCGTCTCCGTCGGGCCCTGTACCCTCAACCTTTAGATACGCAGGACAGAGTCTAACCGCTACACTACGGTGGCTCCCACAACTCCATAGTCGAATCTGAACAAAAAATGCCTTGCATATCTTTCACGGGACATGGAAAACCTGCTCCACGGGACATAGCAAACCTACCCCACGGGAAATGGCAAACCTGCTCCACGGGTCATGGCAAACCTGCTCCACGGGACATGGCAAACCTGAACCTGTTCCACGGGGCATGGCAAACCTGCTCCACTTGTAGTTTTCGTCGTTACTTTTAAAACGATTCAACGCTTACACTGTAGTCAGCATCGATGCCAGCAAAAAAGCCTGCACTAAATAGTCGGATACAACTGTAGTCAAAAGTAAAAAGAGCTAGGAAGCCCACTGGTCGCCCTTAGTTCCCATATCACAACCTACTACTCATTTTAGATTGTCAGCACATTTCCATTTTATTTTAAACCGATCTCATTACGTGCTTGACATATCTTTATTAATATCCACACAAGTATCGGGTCCTGGGTGAATTAATCTTTCACAAGCTATAGGCTAGAATATCCACACAAGTATCAGATCCTGGGTGAATTAATCTTTCACAAGCTATAGGCTAGAATATCCACACACGTATCGGATCCTGGGCGAATTAATCTTTCACAAGCTATGTTCTCGAATATCCACACAAGTATCAGGTCCTGGGTGAATTAATCTTTCACAAGCTATGTTCTCGAATATCCACACACGTATCAGGTCCTGGGAGAGTTGATCTTACACAAGATATGTTCTAGAATATCCACACAAGTATTGGGTCCTGGGAGAGTTCATCTTACACAAGATATTTTCTAGAATATCCACACAAGTATCAGGTCCTGGGAGAGTTCATCTTACACAAGATATTTTCTAGAATATCCACACAAGTATCAGGTCCTGGGAGAGTTCATCTTACACAAGCTATAGGCTAGAATAGCCACACAAGTATCGGGTCCTAAGAGAGTTCATCTTACACAAGCTATAGGCTAGAATATCCACACAAGTATTAGGTCCTGGGAGAGTTCATCTTACACAAGCTATAGGCTAGAATTTGCCACACAAGTATCGGGTCCTGGGAGAGTTCATCTTACACAAGCTATAGGCTAGAATAGCCACACAAGTATCGGGTCCTGGGAGAGTTCATCTTACACAAGCTATGTTCTAGAATATCCATACAAGTATCAGATCCTGGGAGAATTCATCTTGCACAAGCTATAGGCTAGAATATCCACACAAGTATCAGATCCTGGGAGAATTCATCTTGCACAAGCTATAGGCTAGAATATCCACACAAGTATCAGATCCTGGGAGAGTTCATCTTGCACAAGCTATAGGCTAGAATATGCACTAAACTTACCTGTTCTGCTGTCATTGTCAGTTCTGCGCTTTTGGTCTGTTCGACCGTTAGGTCTATGTCCAGTCTGTGAAAGAAATTTTGTATATTTATATATGTCATTATCATCATCATCATGTAGCAGGTCATTTGCAGAACGTCGCTCTCATCACAGTCAGCCTGAATGAAACTCGGTCTCTTGCCAGTTCTCTCGCCTCAGGAAATCTTACACTCAAGGAGTCACTTATATCCTGTGCTCATTTTCGTGTCAGTCGGCCCCTGCCCCTCCTTCCTGGTACCATGCCTTCTGCTATAATTTTTTCTAGTCCGTCGTGGCGCTTGATATGACCAAAATATTTCAGCTTTCGAAAAAGGATGCTGTTTATTAGCCAATCTTCCTTGATGTTCAGATCTTTTAAGATGTCAATATTTCTCATTTTCTTTGTCCAAGATATTCTGAGAATCTTTCTATAACATTTCAGCTCAAAAGCCCCAATTCTCTTTCTTAAGGACTGAGAGATAGTCCATGACTCACATCCGTATGTTGCTTCAGGGAAGATGCATACTCTCAAAATTCTAATTTTTATCTCCTTGCTGGTGCTTAACCATAGACTTTCAAGGCTGTTCAATCTTTGCATTGCTATGGCTTCCTCCTTTTAATTTCTGTCAAACAGTCTCCGTTGTTGTTTATTATAGAGCCTAGATATTCAAAGTTTGTGACATTTTCAATTTTTTCATCATTTATTGTTATTTTTGGGTGACAGCCAGTTTTATCTGTGGACATTATTTTCCTTTTCTTTAAATTCAAGAACAGATTTTTATCTTCACTGCGCTTTTTGGCAAACAATATATATATAGCATTTAAATGAACAAGGAAATCACAGTTACAATTTTCAGAGCAAATATCATCTATGTAGCAGCGAACGGATATGAGTCGTGGACTATCTGCTAGTCGATAAGGACAAAAATAGGGGCTTCTGTGCTAAAATGCCATAGAAAGATTAAAAGAATACCATGATCAAAGAAGGACAGAAATAGTAACATTTTAAAGAAATGAATCCAGTGACCTGGGACTGAAAAGCTTAACGTAATGGCAGGCAGAATATGTACAAAAGATATAAATGGAATTTTTGACCGCAGTCTTTATCGACATGAACTAACAACACATCCTGAATTTAAAGGAAGACTCGCTAATAAACAACATTTTGTTTCCTAAGCACATGTATGTGTGTATGTGTGCGTGTGCGTGTGCGTGCGTGTGCGAGTGTGTGTGTGTGGGGGTGCGTGTGCGTGTTTAATTGAATTGGCACGGTTGAATTAAATATTCTGTCTAACAAGAAATATACAAGAATTTCTACCTGGGAAAATTTGCCCATGCTTGGTCTAGGGATAACCATCGGGGGTGTTGGTCTCACGCCAGACCTGTGACCCTGAGCTGCCATGATTGTGGCAGGGGTGTGTTCGATTCTCTTTCTGTCGACGCAGATTGAAATGTTCGGTAAAAGGGTTGATTGCGCGGTCTGGAATTACACCAGTTAATGATATAAGCATGGAGATGAAATAAACAACACAACAATAACTGTTTTCTTCCTCAGTCGTTTTTTTTATTCCGTCTCCCCTCCCCTCTTATCCAGTTCCAGTCTTGCATACCCCGTAGGTTTATAAAAATATTAAAGGGAATTAGAGCTAGGTAACTTAGGCGCTGGAACCTGGGACTGTGGAATCATGCGACTCCACCACCCGAACCTCGAGCTGTGGAATCATGCGAAACCAGCTCCCGAACCTGGGGCTGTGGAATCATGCGATAACAGCCCCCGAACCTGGAGCTGTGAAATCATGCGAAACCAGCCCCCGAACCTGGAGCTGTGGAATCATGCGATAACAGCCCCCGAACCTGGAGCTGTGGAATCATGCGATAACAGCCCCCGAACCTGGAGCTGTGGAATCATGCGATAACAGCCCCCGAACCTGGAGCTGTGGAATCATGTGATAACAGCCCCCGAACCTGGAGCTGTGGAATCATGCGATAACAGCCCCCGAACCTGGAGCTGTGGAATCATGCGACACCAGCACCTGAACCTGGAGCTGTGGAATCATGTGACTCCACCACCCGAACCTGGGGTTGTGGCATCATGTGACACCACAACCCCACCCCTACCCAACCCCACCCCTTCCCGACCAAATAAAGACACAAACAACATTTGCAAGCTAATTAAGGAAATGCTCTTTTAAAGTATGTGTACCCTACACATGATTTATGTAGCACACACATGTGTACCCTAAACATGATTTATGTAGCACACATATGTGTACCCTACACATGATTTATGTAGCACACATATGTGTACCCTACACATTATTTATATAGCACACCTTTGTTTACCTACACATAATTTATACCTTCTCTTCCCCATCTGCCCCGGCATAGATAGTTTGTTAAATACTGTGTATATGTGTGTAGTGTGGGAAAGAGGGGGGGAGGGTTGGTAAAGAGTCCACAGAGCTTTCTTTGTGTCGGCGTCCTCGATCGGCAACCCAACCCCTATGCAGATGACGCTGATTTCGCCAATCTGTTGGATGCATGCCCTGTTTGCACCTCTAGAGGCCCTAGGGCACGTGCATCAGACTTGAGACTCCAGCTTCCTTCTGGTAGAAGAATTGGCCACATCATCAACAACATCAATCACAATTTGCCCAGTAATGCATGTCTAACATGGTTAAAACAAAGGTGAAAGACACTCTCTATTAAGCATATAGGGCTAGACCTATATTTTATAGACAAATCGGCACTTTACTTTCCAGTGCTTGTACTTGGTACCAACTCAAGGCTGGGTCGACCTCTGAGTCAAGGTCACATTTTTTTTATTTGGCTCTTTCAGGACCCGAAGCCACGACCTTCCGATCCGCTGGCGAGGCTCTAGCCGCTACACCACGGCTGCTCCCCAACTGTCCTAGTTCCTAATAAGTTTTTTTTTTTTTATAATATTTTAAATTGTGGGTAGAATTAGAATCTTAACTTGAACGGTTTGTGGCGACTGCACTGGTCAGACAGTTGCCGGACTTCCATTTCCTAAGCCCTAACAAATGGTAAATAGAGAGATCACGTCGGTGCTGACGCGGTTAAAATCTTTTTTAAACTGGGAACATCGACATCATCAGTGCACAGGGTTTTATCCCATATAGCTCCGTCTTCGACCAGCAGCCTGTCGACAGCGTCGCACAAAGCACGAGCTGCGTAGCTCCGATGACAATAAAAGGGTTTTCTGCAATAACTTCATCCGTGAACAGTTTAATGCGGTCCCTTAGTCTTCCTGACTGCCTGTTTGACTTGAGTTCCTCACTGACACAAATTCAACAGGAAATGCCAGCAGATCAATGCGGTTTACAAACATCTATATTACCGTGCACATAATTTGAATTTGTCACAACATCACAACGTCTGGTTGAAGAATGGAGGTGGAGGCAGTCACTGCTGCCTTCAGCTGACTTGAGCATCCGCTGATTACACATGCCGTGATTGTAACTGACTCACAGAGCATATTGAGAAAGGTGGAGACAGACATGGTCCGTGCAGAGTGGCAAGCATTTCTTCAAAGGTCTCGGGTAGTTAGCATTCTTTGGATATTGTCTCCAGGTGTTTGTTTTGGGAAATGAGCAGGCAGATAGACTGGCCGATTCTGTATCACTTGGTAGTCAATTGATGTATGACAAGCTAGACGTTGTGAGGGCCCTGTGGGAGCGAGTGAACAGTACGAAAGCGCAAATAGATCATTATGGTCTAAGAAAAATGGCGATGCGAGGAGTTACCAGGGGATCGGGCTGACGCTCTACACTCAAAGTTAGGGCGAGACGGATATACAATCAGGCAGTTACTGGCGCCATCGGAATAGAAACTCTCCGTTTCTGCTGACGGTGGGGGCGGAGTGCGTATGGGGGTTTCCCGAGCTCTATGATGTCGATTCCTAATTCAACATTCAGTCACAACAACATGAAATGTAAGCAAATCTGTTCGGTTTATAAAACATCTATATTATTGTTCACTTACAAAGCAGTCTCTGGTCGGTCGATGGTTTAAACACACGTTTTCAGTCAGACAGCGACAACAGCTGGAAGTATACGGTTTGAGTCCCAGGAAAAACCACAGGTGATAAATGATGCAGTGAGAGTACGCATGAAGACACCCAGGGTATAACAACATCACACACGATATCTGGTCTTTGTGTCTTAGACAATCTCTGGATCTCTGGCAGGTTTTGCTGAATGACGTAGCTGAACACGATAATGATTATAGAAGAGTAAGAACAACAAGTAGATCATCCCACAGTGCGTGACAGGAGTGTCACCGAATTCTCCAGACACATTCTTTTATCAAACAAATAAAGTCGACCCAAATTATCTGGGCGGGATATAAATAAAAACAACTTCCTGGTTGGGACGCACTAACAGCTTTACATTCCACTTCTTCCTTTGCACTGCTGCTAATGCTGCAAAATAATGTTTAAAAAAAAGGAGCTTAGCGTAGTTTATGTCTTTTGCCTTACTGTTTTTGCTCTAAAGCATCGCAGAGTGGAGTTAGTTATAGTTTTCTGTCCTTTGCTGGCTGCGTAGCTTGTATTCATGTTGTATTACGTATGAATGTATGTTTGTATCTATGTATGTATGTTTGTGTGTACGTATGCCTGTGTGTATGTGTGTATGCATGTTTGTTTGTATGTATCTGTGTCTGTATGTATGTAATGTATGCATGCATGTTTGTGTGTGTAAGTGAGTGGGTGAGCGCGTGTATGTGGGTGTATGTATGCACGCGCGGGTTTTTGCATGCACTTTACAACTCATGCTTTTGTGTTCTTTTATAATATTCATAATATGCATATCATCATATGATCATAACATGCTTTATTAGTAAAATACAACTGCTGTGCGAAAGATGGTTGACTGGAAGGGCCGAATGTAAGACGGGCCTGCGTGCCCAATTTGTGACCCTTTGAAAATAAAGTTCGTTCGTTCGTTCGTTCGTTCGTTGTATGTAGTGTCCCTCTGACTCCCTCCACCTACTTTTTTCTTGGTCGGCCTCTTGTCTTGTTGTCTGTTGCTCTCATATAGTAGGCTCTAGCTGTTGGCTGACTGTCTTCCATTTTTGATCAGGTAACCAAACTATCAGATTAAAAAAAAAAAAACTGTATCCTGCAGTTTTTGGAAGGAAGCAGCTGCTTTGTGCCGTACGTATGAGAACGTGCGGTCGAGCTGAAAAACATTAAACTATTTAGTTCTGTTTAAGTGCAGTCAAACATTAAAAATAATAGGTAAACAGACAATGTATTGATCGGCACTGATAGAAAGAACTTGAGAGATGGAAGAATACAGTTTAAAAAAACAACAACACGAAAGCTATAGTTACCGTACTAGGCATTGCACATGGAATCTTACCTGGCAAGGTAACTATAGGTTTCGATTTTTATGTTGTCTAGTGTGTCCTTCTATCTTTCTGCTTCTTACACTGAGTGCCAATCAGTTTATTGTTTGTTTACTTATTATATATTTAATGTTCATACGGACTTAACGTTCCCTCTCTGTTTATTTAGTTGCAGTGACACCTCGTTAACATGAATCCCAAGCCACCGAAGCATCCAAGTTGCAGTGACACATCGTTAACATGAAAACCAAGACACCGAAGCATCCAAGTTGCAGTGACACCTCGTTAACATGAATCCCAAGCCACCGAAACATCCAGTTGCAACGACACCTCGTTAACATGAATACCAAGCCACCGAAATATCCAGTTGCAGTGACACCTCGTTAACAAGAAACTTAAGCCACCGAAACATCAAGAGTTGCCGATAACAATTCATGTTAACCGGGGATATTAATAATAAGTCGAGGCTGTGGTCAAGACTGTGTTCATGTTGACTGTCTGTTGGTCTTAAGTGAGTTGGGCTGAAATCAGTTTGACTATAGTTAATACTATTTAGTATTTAGTAGGCCACTGGTCAAGATTTTGGTCGAAACGTTGGGTTGTATTTGTACACACTTTTTCTATTCCGCCTGTTGAGCTTTCTAATTAAGTTTGGGTTGTATGTAGTATTGCTCGATCACTGGGCTACTCTCTTTCTCTCTCTGTTTGTGACTCACATTCACACAGACACACAGACATACACACACACCCACACACACACACACACACCTACACACACACACCTACATACACACACAATGATTCAACAAAGTTGTCTCAAACATGTGATACTAAAGATGTTTCCTTCCATCTGTGGCATCCTGACCACAAACTGAGTGTGATAACAAATTCCTGCCCTGAAAGTTGACAACTTTTCACGTACCGCTTGTTCAGTGCTGCCTTGTAGACATGTTGTCCGACAAGTTATCAGGAAGTGTTCATGGTTTGCTTTAAGTTTGTAGAAAATGTCTGATGGTATATGCGACGTCCGTGACTTAGGCGTTGCCAGTCCGACTCGTAATTCCAACGTACCCGGATCGAAACCCACTTAATTTTTGTCATGGTACGGGGAGTCGCAGGTTGACCCAGCCTAAAATGGGTAACAGGATTGTCTGTCCTGGGGAAGAAAAGACGGCCGGCATAATGCTGACCACATTACCCACCTAGTACCGATTGGCCTTTAAATATATGGATGCGTGAAAAGGGGTCTTTACTTTTTTTTTACTTACTGATGATATATTACGTAAAGTGCAGCAGGAGACTCCGAGGTCTGCATCATCAACCAGGTCGGCCCACCCCTAGAGACTGTCTAGGAGGATAATGGGCCGGAACAACCGTCGATAAGGGACCTTTCTAGTGATGAAATGTGCACTTCTGTGCATGCTCCCTCTGTCGAGTTCTTTAATAACAGTAGTCGGTGTCCAGTCAAGCGTACAGTTAAGAAATCTGTCGGTGACGACTTCAGAAGCAGGGACACGCCATTTAGTCAAACAGTTCTGTTGTACGACAGTCACCATCGACAGTCGCAGACGTATAATAACACTTTTGTAAGAATCCCCTGATTGATATACAACCAGGCACAACACTGGGTCAGAGACTTTGAAATACCAACCAATTCCGCAAGTGAACATTTTAAATATGGCATGAAATTGCAAAAGAAGTCGAAAGCCGCTGCGTTGTGTGCAGTCAATTAGGAGTAGAACTGCTGTGTACGTCAGTGTTGACAATGTGGCGTGGGGCGCCGGAACTCCTCGCTGGTCGCTAAAGATGGGGACAGAGCGCTTATGGGAATGCCCTGAGTGCTGTGATGTCGGTTCTTGAATCAAATCAAATCATTAAATTTGTGTTACAACATTCAACGCTTCCCGTTTTTCTTCCTTCCACCTTGGTATTTCATGTTAACTTAACTCTTTAAACGTTAGGAAATCAGTCCGGGTCTGAGTTGAAGTAGTAAGCACAAGATATCACCACAACAAACAACAAAAAAACGTCGAGGCTAGAAAACATTCTTCAGCCTATAATAAACTAACAGTGATACAGTTAAAAACCAGAATACACAAATATACAGTTACAAACAAGAATACACAATCTCACAGTTACAAACCAGAATACACAATCTCACAGTTACAAACCAGACTACACAATCTCACAGTTACAAACCAGAATACACAATCTCACAGTTACAAACCAGAATACACAATCTCACAGTTACAAACCAGAATACACAATCTCACAGTTACAAACCAGAATACACAATCTCACAGTTACAAACCAGAATACACAATCTCACAGTTATAAACCAGAATACACAACCTCACAGTTTTAAACCAGAATACACAATCTCACAGTTACAAACCAGATTACACAATCTCACAATTACAAACCAGAATAAACAATCTCACAGTTACAAACAAGAATACACAATCTCACAGTTATAAACCAGAATACACAATCTCAGAGTTACAAACCAGATTACACAATCTCACAGTTATAAACCAGAATCACAGTTAAAAACTAGAATACACAAACTCGCAGTTATAAACCAGAATACACAATATCACAGTTACAAACCAGAATACACAATCTAACAGTTACAAGCCAGAATACACAATCTCACAGTTACAAACCAGAATACACAATCTCACAGTTATAAACCAGAATACACAAATTCACAGTTATAAGCCAGAATGCGCAATCTCACAGTTACAAGCCAGAATACACAAACTCACAGTTACAAACCAGATTACATAAACTCACCGTAACAAACCAGATTACACAAACTGGCAGTACAGGTCTCCCACTGAAATATTCGTGTCATGCCTTGACAGTAAAAAGTATGAGTCACATAAATTCTGAGTCACATAAACTCTGAGTGACATAAAACTATGACTCACATAAACCCGTTCTTCTGTTATCCTCTCTGTATTAGCCTCACTAATTCGGCACTTCAAGTATAATACTGTCAACTAAAGGTCTTTCATCAGGCCCTAATGTCTTCTTATCTGGTCTTGTCTGGTCACACAGGGTGAATCTGATTGGCAAGTTCTAAAAATTGTTTTGCAAAAGAGTAAAACTGGTTTGAAAAAAAAATGGTAAATTGGTGTGCAAACAGGGTGCCTTCGATTTGCGCAAGATCGAATTCGGCTAACCAGTCCTCTCTGTGAGACAACATGCAAGTAGTTGTGTGAGCACTGTCTGTGAGACAACATGCAAGTAGTTGTGTGAGCACTGTCTGTGAGACAACATGCAAGTAGTTGTGTGAGCACTGTCTGTGAGACAACATGCAAGTAGTTGTGTGAGCACTGTCTGTGAGACAACATGCAAGTAGTTGTGTGAGCACTGTCTGTAAGACAACATGCAAGTAGTTGTGTGAGCACTGTCTGTGAGACAACATGCAAGTAGTTGTGTGAGCACTGTCTGTGAGATAACATTCAAGTAGTTGTGTGAGCACTGTCTGTGAGATAACATTCAAGTAGTTGTGTGAGCACTGTCTGTGAGATAACATTCAAGTAGTTGTGTGAGCACTGTCTGTGAGATAACATTCAAGTAGTTGTGTGAGCACTGTCTGTGAGATAACATTCAAGTAGTTGTGTGAGCACTGTCTGTGAGACAACATGCAAGTAGTTGTGTGAGCACTGTCTGTGAGATAACATTCAAGTAGTTGTGTGAGCACTGTCTGTGAGACAATATGCAAGTAGTTGTGTGAGCACTGTCTGTGAGACAACATGCAAGTAGTTGTGTGAGCA